CAGTGGTCTCATCCAAGTCTGCGTCCTCTCCATCCTGTATGTGTTGTTCATGGATAGAATAGTCAGGAGCTGCCAAGGCGATGAGTTTGTCGGTTTTAAGGATGTGAAGACGAAAATTTTGCTGTTTGGAGACGACCGTGTTTTATTGGCATCTTCTGAAGCTGATCTACAATACTCCCTGGAAAGGTTCGCAGCCGAGCGTGACTTGACTGGCGCGAGTCTGAACGCATCTAAAATGAAAAGCCTAGTGTTTTCTCGTTCTCCTGCCCGTTGCTCCCTTCAGATTACCGGAGAGGCAGTGGAGCAGGTGGAGAAGTTCAGGTACCTCGGAACTGTATTTACTAGTGATGGAAAATTGGCGGAAGAAATCGACCGGCGAATTGGAGTAGCCAGTGGCGTTCTGCGTGTAATAGCCCGATTGTGACTAAAGCAGAGCACAGTCTGGAAATTAATCTCTCGGTATTTAAGTCGATCTTTATCCCCATGCTTACCTGCGGTCATGAATCGTGGACCATCACTAAAATACTTCGAACCCGGGTAGAAGCTCCCGAAATGGGCTTTCTTAGACGAGTCTCTGGCCTTACGCTTCTCGACATGTTCCATAACACTGATATCGCGAAGAGCCTTAGTGTACATACTTTGCTTCTCCAAATTGAGAAGTCACAACTGCGATGGTTTGGGCATGTGTTGCGAATGCCTCCAGAAAGGAAGACTAAGCAACTGTTTGATGCGAATCCGACCGTCAGCTGGCCTAGGGGACGGCCAAGATTAACCCGATGCAAATATATGGAGGAAGTCTGTTAAAGACTCTAGTTGTCTTCTGCCGTAGCTCAGACTCTGGCACAGGATGGAGAATGTTTGTAGCTGTGTATACGCGCCTGCCTCCGCGATCCAAAAGCAGAAGCGGCGATGGAGGTTTAATGAATGAATGAAAAGCTTGGCTCAGATCATACCGCGGCGTAAAATTTGCTTCTTAAATGCTAATTTCTTACGCAAGGAATTCTTTCACTTAGTGCTGTCAGGCGGGATTTCAGTAACAAGTCGTTGACCTACGGATAGTTGTGACAGCGTGGTATTCCATTGCAGTCATTTCTCTTTGATCAGTTTGTAAGGTTTAAGATCATGCTGTATGATGCGAGCGCTTGACGAGTGCATTTCGCTGAGATCCATCCAGTAACAGACTAAATTAACATAAAGTCTAACCCGCAAACAAAGAATGTCTTAGTAGCTGGATAACTGCAGTTATTTTGGCTGACACTATTTATTAGCTTGTTAAAAAATTCGAGACTACATTTCTATGTAATACTGATCCTACAGTGATTCCCTGATATGTATGTTAGAAGACATTTTCTTTGATATGCCAGCGTTTCTCTTTCTTAGGCGACTTCTTAAATCTGTTGGCATTAAATCGGGTGAATTTCTGAGGAAAGTTTTTATTCCAGTTGACGAATTTTTATAAATTTAGCTGAATATACGTGATTATTTCGTTGATTCATGGTTCGGGACAGCAAATACAGTTGGTAAAAAGCTTTCTGTCAAAGCGCCGCTTTACTGCAAAAAGCGCAGCATCATCAGGGCTGGAAATTCAGTCCAGCCCTGCTGATGCGCGCGTTTTGTGCAGTGAAATGCGTTGGCAGTAAGCTATTTACTATTTGTATTTGGTGCCCCGAACCATGAATCAATCAAACAACCATGTGTATGACAATGAGCCCAGAATCGGAAACCTGAAGAAGTGTTTAGCTGAATGTCCCGTAAAGCTGTTAGCTGCAGATCACGTAACGCTATTGCCCACGCGATTGCTCAGCATCAACACTGCAACTACACCTGATGAACAAAATTTCGGTACTCTTATACTTGGAACGCAAATTGTTCTGCATTCTAACTTCACTATTTGGAGTGTTTCATTGCTGTATTACTCAAAGTATTGTTTATGACATCTGCGATATATGTTCATTTGTTTGCCTTTCGTGGCTGATGTTATTTTTTGCTTTACGCTATCAGCAATACAAGATTTGCGCACATGTTTTAGATTTACACTTTTTACTTTACATATATGCTTCCTTTCATATTTAATTCAGCTTAACTTAACTTAGACTTTCTTTCCCGTGATTGTGCTCCATGCTTTGAGCAGTTGTACTTTTAATGCTTCATCAAAATTCTTTCAGATTATGACCATGAAAAAGAACTCGTTTGTGTCGTTACATCAGTTCTTGGGTGAAGTGTATTACATAACCAACGCGAGTAGTGGTTATGGAAGCGGTTCAATGGCTGCTTTGGGACTGACTATGCTAATATTTGGTGGCGTAGTCGGCTTGGTTACGGGGTTTTACATGTGGAAACGGGACCGTGGAATCGCTTATCAGATATATGAATAACGTTTACCACTTAAGTTTGATAACAATGCTTTTTTACAGTTTTATGTTATGCAAATTTGTATTCACTTTTTTCTCTTTTTGCTGACTTTGATTTAATTTGTTTAAAATTGTTCGTTTTTATGTTTTATATACATGAAAGCATTCCTTTACGAAGTTTCACATTTAATGCTAAAATTTATACGCTTCGAGCTTTTAATTATCGGAATTTTATTCGGTGGCTGTATTGTAGCTTATACTAAGGAATTTTTTCATAGTTCAGTTTCCCATGGTTTGTTTGTACGCTCTTTACAGTTCTGCCACAATCAAAATGCAAAGGGATTATTACAGACTTTTCGGACAACGGAATCAATTACAATGGACAATGTAAATGAGCTGGCACATGGCGTAAAGTAAAACCGTAGCGTTGACTGGAAGTTTATAGTCTTAATCTTCAGTGCAATATTGCTTCTGTGTTATATCTGCGTTACTTTACTCAAGTTTTATAACCGACATAAGTATGCCACTGTGTTTCGCATTAGTTCGTACATACTTAGTCAATCAATTTGCCATATTGCACTTTCTATTCACTAGCTTTCTATAATTCTGGGATTGACAACTGATAGCTGGTCCATTGCTTAGAGAGCCCTTCAAGCAGTGAATGTGAAGTGTTGTGGTGGAAACTTGAATGTCTGCTCCAAAATGAAAATAATTAACTGGTTTATAAAGCGCGGCTAACCGGACATGCTTGGAATTTTCATGACGGTCCCCGCAGTTTCAGTGCCTGACTTCGACATCGTGTTGGTGGAGGGGAAGGTGGACTCTTAATCTAGTATTGATCTATCCATCTTTACAGCAATGATGAATTGTTTGTAAGCTCTTTCTTTTATAGACTGTTTTGTGAATGGGTGCATTGGGGAAAGAATTTGCATTCCGAAACTAAAATAACGAGAATGGACGTTTTAGTGCAAACATGTATGTTTGCGACATATATAATCTAAAGCTACATGCACCAATAAGTATAGGGATGCATCGTTAAGCAGTTGTGTACTAGAACCTAGTCTGTGATTTCGCAAATAATACTATGATAAGTCTATTCCAGCAAGTGCCCTCAACTATGATTTTGGGTTCCAGACACTGAAGGAAATGGTGTAATCGCGATACATTACGCCAGAAACTATTTCTTCGAAGTAACTGATATGACCAGAATCGGCAGTTTTGGAACTGGATTATCGTTCATGTCTTCATTTAATTATTACATTTTTTCTTGCAAAAGCTGCCCTTTCATGTGACTTCGGACATATGCACTTTCACATGACATATGACTAATTGTCTAATTATAATTATACGCCTTAGCTATCCAGCGTATCCGCCCTGTGAATTTCTTTTCTGGTAGTCTGTTCAAATGTCACCATGGTAATTTCTAGAATCGGTGAATAAGTCGGTTCGTCGTGAGAAGTGTTTTAGATTACAGCTTTCCGAATCTTGCTGAGTCTTTTCTTCACCAAACTGAACTGTTGCGATAGGAACATTTTTTGTACATGCTTAGGATGCAACAATCGAGACCGGCAGGAAAAACTCGTTTTGCAGAAAATGGAATGCGGCTGAAAGACAGACCAGAGGCGACAGTTCTTCAGCTAAAGGATGTTATTTTATCAACAGCTGCGTACTAAACGATGTTCATGCTTAGCGGCTTCTTAGAGAGAGGACTAGATTATCCCTCATCATTTCGTCATTTGCGATGGAATGATTTTGCAAATGGTAGCTATACGATGTCCTTTTTCAATTCCTATTAGCAAGCGTTAATTCACTTAAAGAACAAGCTGAGAATTCTACTAGTAGTCGATAGGTTTCGTCAACAACGACTGTCATTCTGGATAGTCACTGGCGGACAGTGAAATTCCATATTCCATTCACTGATTGGGCTGTTCCGTCTAAATCGGGATGCACTTCTCAGCTGTACTGCAGGAATATTGGTCTCGACTATCTTGTAAAGTTACCTAAATGCCTACTTTATGAGAAGGACAAGTGTTGGTTAACCTTCATATTAGAGTAAAAGTGAAGGCTGAAAATTGCATAAAACGGCTTAGTTACATGCAATGCACAAATATATAGTTAATCAGAGAACTGGCTGCTATCGATACGTCAGTCCGTGCTTTACTGGCCTTATTCAGAGTAAGAGGACTGGTTTACTGACATTGGAAGCCTTTGTTTTTCTCTTGCAGTGGCAGGTAACGCCGAAAGTCAGAAACATCGGTACTGGTCAGTCATCCCCATGACCATTCGTGTTTTGTACAACTAAACCATTCATTCTGTCTTCCAGTATGACAACTAACTTACGAACTAAATGTTAAACAAAGAAAGACTGCTTCAACTCACTTTGCAGGGAAGTGAAGTCCATTTTCGACCCCACTGAATTGCGGAGATTGCTTAACAGTTTGAATAAGGGAACAGATGTCTGTGCGATTTACAGTATTCTTGTATTTTCGCTAGCAGTAAGAACCTGGATTTACCCAAAGATAAGATAGTGAATGACTGATACCAACTTGTAGGCTAACATATTTAAATATGTCCTTACGCAAGGGTGTTTTTAAACAAAAATTCCTATTAGAATGATCGAAAGAATGTTACTTGATGTTCGAAGTAAGTATACTCAAATCTTTACGCTTTCCCTCTGAAAGACAAATAGCTCTGTGACCATGTAGAACTAAAGATATCACGAATGCTTCATCAGTATAAAAAATGAAAAGGATTATAGCATTATTTACAACCTTTAGAAGGTCAAGACATCACCTTCATATTTCATCGCCGTTTCTCCCTTCGGGTAATGGAGAGAGACGCGTCAGGCACAGCTTGAAAAATTCCCGATCCTGGCCCAGAGTCTGAGCATCGGCGGAAGACAACTGGATCTGGATCAGATTCCTTTCATATATTTGCATTAGGTTAGTCTTGGCCGTTCTATGGGCTTTTTGTCGTTCGGATTTGCAAGGAACAGTTGCTTAGCCTTCCTTTCTGGAGGCATTCGCGACACATGCCTAAGCCATCGCAGCTGTGACTTCTCAATCTGGAGAAGCAAAGGTTGTATTCTAAGGCTCTTCCGGATGTCACTATTCCGGACCATGTCGAGACGCGTAAGGCCAGCGACTCGTCTAAGAAAGAAGGCTCTTCCGGATGTCACTATTCCGGACCATGTCGAGACGCGTAAGGCCAGCGACTCGTTTAAGAAAGTACATTTCAGCGGCTTCTACCCGGGTTCGAAGTTTTTCAGTGATGGTCCACGATTCATGACCGTAGGTAAGTATGGGGATAA